CTTTACCACTGATTAAGAATTCAATTTTTCTGTTACGAGTTTACTATGTAAAGAAAATTGAGCGCAAATTTTACAGCCGTAAGCTGTTTGGAACTTTACTTTAAAGTAAAAGGAAACATAAAAATACGTAATGGAAATGTAAATGAGAACGATACATTATTCGAAGTTGAAAAAGAGCTTGAAGTTATACTTTGAAGCCAAAGCCAGTGTTTTATACAAGTGAAACTTCGTAAATAAAGGAGTTGTAGAGCGGTACAGTTTAAGAAAGGAGAGAAAATTGACTACGAGTACAGGTGAAAAGTGGAAGAAACCAGGATAAATCACGCGTGGAATGTAAATGGAATGCTTGCACTTTAATACTTCTCTCATACTTTCCAAGCTGACCTTGTTTCGATCGAGGAAACGCATAGCTGACGGAAGTTTAGTCTTCCCTCCAGTTTCCATACTATTTTTATCGTTCTCTCTGTTGTACGCTACGCTACTGTTTATAATTTCTCATCGGCCTTCGGGTAATTCATTGAATTTACCGAACACCGTTCCTCCGTCATTCAAAAACTTTCTCAATCTTCTCTTATCGTATTAATAATGTTCGAGCCTTCGAGGAAGATTGTAATCTCTTTGAGCACAGCCTGCACAGGATGAAATGGATGAAAGAAAATTAGACTTATCGAAGTCCTCTCTGTTCAGGAATAAAACAGATTTCGAAGGGTAAAATTAAAAAAGAAACATCAAACTTGTTCGCTTTGATTAAAAATTTCAAGTATATTATCATTTTAATGTAACCGTACGAACGTATCAAAATTTTTCTGTCGCACAGAGGTGTCTATATTCGTTAATTAATAATTAGCGTGTCGGGCGCAAGTGGCGTTGGTAACCGCATTACGAATAAATACGTCGGAAGCTTCGCCGGCCGTCAAAACGACGAACCATTACTGTATGTCCAGTAAACCGGCAAAGTGACGCGCATGCATGGCGGTTCGCTGAATTAATAGAAGCCATGCTGCACGTCAGCCCATTAATGCGATGTATCTACGGTGTAGCCGGTGCATACCTGTCACTTCCGTGCGCGTGCATGCGTGACCTCGCTTTAGCGACAACACGATAACACGTTGCAGTTTTCCTTAAATTGATATCGAAACGATCGCGTTTGCGAGAGACCGTTTACACTAACTGATACTTGCTTAGAAATTTCGAACTTGCGATTCGAATAGAATCGTCCTGCGATGTTTTCGTTGAAGGATAATAAAGGAGCTGGCATTATTTGAGGAATTTCTTCGGAGTAGCTTAGAAGGATGAAACAATAAATTATAGTTAATACGCAGTACAGGCGACAGATATTCGAGTCTTAAGAGCCGGGGAAGATCCTGACTCGAATTCCAGTCCAGCAATTCAATCGACCGAATATTTTCCCCCCCGCAATAGCGATAGAACTGAAATAGAATTGTTCCGAGGTCTTCATTTGAGAAAGGTACATACATACCTGATTTTGTTTGGAATAATTCACTTGGTATCTTTTAGTATTAAAGAAATCTGTCCGTGATAAAAGATTGCTGTGAACTAGACGCCGATGTAATTTATAGAAACATCGAGGATCTCGATTAAGCAGAGATTTTGCTCCAAGTACGTCGTAAAGCTGATATATGTAGGTCCAGTACGGAAACACGTGGTTGATATTCCTCGAGCGATTTCCGTCGAGATTTTCACCAGAGGACGAATGCTCCCGATTACTTAACCCGGAATTGAACCCTTATATTGCTCGTCGTTTGTTCCCGGTCAGGATGCGAAGGAGAATTAATGACTGTCTTTGTTCCTCCGATCCTTTCGAGGTATTGCTACGTTTCCTGTAGTACACTATCGAGGAATTTCATTAAGGATCGAGAACTTGATTCTTCCGACAAACAGGAAGACAAGCTCGGTGTTGTAGAGGTAAACAAATCTGTCGATAAAGACAACGGCGCAGTTGAAACGTTGAGCAGCGAAACGCGGTCGATGTAAAGATCGCCAGTGGAAGTGTTCGTCGTAGCAAATATCCGAAATACGGATCTGGTGTTCCGGCGTGGCCACAATGCGAATGCCTTTTTTTTTCTGCAAAGATCGGGGTAAGTGCGTAGCGCGGAGCACAATGGAAACGTCTCTGGTACGGATGTAAGCGTCGATCCCCTGTCGCGAAGCAAGAAACGAGAAAGAATGGGGTCCTGAAAGCTTTTTTCAATGTTCCACCACCCAGGGTTCGCGCGATGAATCAGGTGGGATGTTGCGCCATCGATTTCGTCCGGTAACATTCTCGAATGCTTCACTCTGGAAAAATCGAACCGGTGAAGTGATTTTTCCGTCGCAAATATCGGAATAGTTGATCCTGTTAATTATGCGACGCGTAAACTCGATTCGAGTGTCGTCGGAACCTTGGTAAATCAGAATTATCCCGAATCAACGATCAGTACAATGAGTAATTAATCGTCACGAGAGGAATATCAACAACATTGAACGGGAAATTTCACGAGCCAGCTGGCTAGAAACAACTACAATCAGCGCGATTCAATCGAGTCAGATTTATTGGACGCTAGCATGAAAGCCAATGCTACAATTTCATCCTTCCCTGCCGAAAATGTGGCGGACGCATAACAGATTTTGACAAATTCCCTCCGCTATGAATCATTCGTTGCACGAAGCTCGTCCTTAACCGAATTCACCGCGGTCGCCTTTGATAAATTAAAAATTTCGAACGCTGTCGATTGAGTTTCTCGATTAATTCTGTACTGGCAATGAAACCCGATGTAACAGCGATTCTCGAAGGGCATACTTTTTTCTAGATGAACGCATTTCAACGGGCGTTAATGCGTTTTAGGTCAGGCCTAGCGAAAGGGAAGGTCTCGACCGTTGGTCAGTGTGGGCACATCCATTAAAGGGAAAGGTCATATGTAAGATAACCAACTGCTTTCGGAGCTCCTGCGATGAAAATACCATTTATTTTTTCTGCGACTCAGGGTCGAAACAAACAACCCGTGAATTTTTCTTTCATGAATCCTCCATTCTTATATGAGAATCGATTATATTTAAACAGAGTCAGACTGGAATATATAGGAGTGGTGTGTTCTGAAACAGTAGATTTTTTTCATAAAATTACATGGAAGTGAAATTTATTTATTTTTCAATGTTTTGTCTCACTTTGCTGATTCATTTAGATGAATCTTTGATAACACGGTGAAATGCGAAAATTAGCGAAATTCTTGCCGATAGTAATAACTCGACAAGCTGATGTAGGAAACATTATGCGAGAAACGAACTTCGTTTCTGTACACTGTTGAAGTTCGGTGAATCAGCAGCAGGTCACAGAATTTCCCGATGGTTCTTCTGAGAATTTCCAGCAGACGTTTCAAGCAAATGGCGCAGCCAGCCATTTCATAGCGAGGTTATTTCAAATTTCGTTCGTTCGCGAGAAACTCGTCCCGTTGAACGCGGGAGAGAGGGCGTTTGATTTTTCGACGACGAACCGTGCGATCGAGCGGTTCTCCAACTTATCCAAGATTAAACGAGTTTCGAACGGGAAAACTTACAATTTTCCAAGTTTGCCTGTCGCGGGAAGCGTTACGTTTCGAGGTTACGAAGAAAGGTGGAAGGGAAAAAAATATTAAGCCGGAAGCCGTGAAAGAAACATGAAACTCGGTATCGTTTACAAAGAAAAACCAAGGACGAAAAGAGAAGAGGTACTCTTCGAATATCTTTTCAACCAGCTCTCATAGGATAAACAAAATTTTGGTTAGAGATAGCACATCAACGAATTTCCTTCCGGGAAAATCCTATCTACCCTATAAATTATCCTCTCTGCTCGTTAACTGGAAGCACAATGCTGTCCAGAGTTGAACAGTCGCCGCTACACACGCGTTTCCCTCCGACAAACCCGAACTTGCGTCGTAACTGCTTAGGGGTCAACCCGTTTAAAGAACACCCCTTCCCTGCTCTCGTCAATCTGATTACAACAACAATACGAAACTTCCTCCTCGGCTTGAAACAAGCCAAGTTAACCAGATTGACGCCAGGAAACTTTGGCTGGATCGATCTCGCCTCTCTTGCCAAGTAAACGCTCGAGAATTCTTTTCGTGCGTGTAGCGCGATCGGGTGGCAACGACGGGTGTAAAATTTGTAAATGTTTTGAAAGAAGTTTCCGGCTTAAGTAAGGAAAGGGTTAACGAGGGGATCCGTTTCAACGAACGCGATCTCGGAAATTCACAGGGGTTGTTTCTCATCGTTAGACGGCCGCGAAACACGGATTTCGAGAGGGCCGATGATGGAAAGGGATGGAAGGAGCATTTAATCACGAGAGCTCGTTGTTACACACGTCCAAACGGACGTGCTCCTTCCGCGTTGAAACCATCGAAAGATGGATGCTGCAATCGCACACCCTCGACCGGACGAATCTAATTACTCCACCGAAATGAAATCTGCTTGAATTACGAGTCGATCGAATTCGCGGTTTTATCGTGACAAAGAAGTCCTGTGTTTACCTTCGTCACGGTTCTATCTTACCGGCAACTAGATCGATGGTTTTATCTCTGATAGAGGAATTCCTTTTTTCTCGCCCTCGAATCGTTTTATTCGTGAATATACGAATAATAATAATAATAATAATTTAAGAGATAAGAGAATGGAGGAAACGTGGCTACGGTTCGCGATGAAAATGAATTACGAGCCGTGGCTCCGCTAATAAATCTCACCGTCGCTTTATATTTTTTTTCATAATTAATGAACGTCGTCTATTAACGCGGCTACGCCGTTGAATCGTTTCGTTCCTCTGCTCGAGGTTACACCTTTTGGATTTTCTCCCTCAGCAACGGGGGATTGTTATTCAAGTAGCGTTGAAAAATTGCAGCGATAAAGAAGGAACTTTGTAAAGAATTAAAGAAGGTGTATCCGATTAACGGTGAATTAAACCCGTTAAGAAAGCGATTTGTTCGAGGAGAGGATCATAAATATCCCAACTTCATTTTCCCCGGGGTTCGACGTTTGATTTAAGTAGAATTTTATTGAAAACATTCTTCTTCCACGACGCGACATTCTCCAATTTTCTCGATTACCCTCAGGGATAGGGTAACGAGGCGTTCGTTGAATCGCATTAAACACGCTACGTATTTTACAAGTAATATTCCGCACAAGTCTTTATAACCGCAATTTACGAGCCGCCGAGGTGCTAAATAAAAGATGACGAAGAAGCCATGGGAAACGTGCTTGCCTCCAGCTTCTGCGTCGCGGCTCGCTGTTAAACGTTCGAGCAGAACGCACGGGGCGAGAAAAATCGCGCGGTCTGGCAAACTTGTTCGAATCGAATCGAATCAAAAGAGCAACCCCTGGAAATTGGCCCGCGACGAAAGTCACCACCGGCGCCGACCGAATGGCCGGGCGCGATTTGTCCCCGCGATCGTTCGAAATAAATTCGAAGCAGCCGCGCGATTTATCTCGCCGTTAAACAGATTTATTCGGAAAATACGGGGCCGGGCGCGGAACGCACGCACGAAAACTGCGCCCGTTTTCGTTGCATCACACGGAACAAATAATCCTCGATGCCGAATAAACAAATAATTTCGTCTCGTAAATTCTGCCCGCCCGTTGGTACTTCGAACGTGTGAATATTAATATAACCGTGAACGAGGCTGTATTTATTATTCGTACAAAACGTAACAACGTTGCTGATGTATAGAAAAAACAAGGAAAAAAATAAGGAAAAGATTTTCTCACGAGGCCTCGTGGTGTCTGGTATAAAAAAGAGGAACAATCGGGAGGAAAGTTGAACACTAGAATGCCAGACGAATTCCAGGGTGAACAACAGTTCTTTTTTCACGAGGTTTCGTCTTTCGAGGAGAACGCGGGATTCTCACGGGATTCTCGCGTGCCATAAGCTAATTTCGGACATTCAGACTTGCGTACTTCCTTCTTGCTCTTCCCATTTTTGCATATCTTCTCGTGACTATCGGCTGGCATGCTGATCACTTCCGTCAGCTGCATCGCTCTCGTGAATCTCAACGCCTGAAAGCAAAATATCAAAATATGAGGAATTTTCGAAAAAGGGGTGTAATCATTTTTCCAAGTGAAAATATGTTTTAGAAATGCCCGACGTCTTATTTTCTTTCTTACAATTCGGTCAAAAGGGATATATTACGCTTGGGTGAAGAAAAAGGGCAACGAGTACAAAGTCTGCTCCGCACATGCGATAGGGCAAAGGGCAAGCTCATTGAATCACCTTTGAATCCTTTTCCAATGAAGAATCGTGTTCATGGTGGAGAGAAAGGTTTAAATGTCATTAGGGATTCAATTGTTTTCGTGCTGGAACAGATTTCTTTTCCAAGCTTACACGCGTTGAGTTTGCTGTAAAATAAACGGCAAGGGTGGCGAGAGAGGATAATACCTTCGAATCTTATGAAAGATTAAAGAGGAAAGTTTGTAAGGAGAGGAGTAGCAGCGAAGTAGCTTATTTTTAATCATTTTATAGCGAAGTTTAAACAGTTATGTTCAATCTTGAAGAGCCTTCTAAATATCAGAGGTTGATGCTGTGTACTTCGCTTCTTCTCCACTCATAATTTGTTCTGCTTTATCTTTTAATATTTTCACACATCCCGTTGATTAATTAATTTGCTGCTTACTATTCAATCATGTATGAATATTTTTTAATTCAAATTCATGAAACGTAGCTATGATTTGGTTGATTCGTACTGAAACTTGAAGACAGGAAGTGCATTGAAAGTTACGTTTTCTCGCGGTTCTTTCAAGACGCGTTAAACGGCGAGAAAATCAACGGAACCGGCCCCGTTTTTAGTCATCATAAATCACGAATCCTACCTGGAAAGAGATAACCCCGTTTTATGTTATCAACTAACCTTGTTCCAGTTTAGACGAACTTTCCGCGTGCTGACCAGTGGAAACGTTTGTTGCTTATTTTTACCTTTTCGATTATTCACGTGCTTCCGTTTACCTCGTTACTTGGCGCAAGATAAACTTCCCTCTTCTAACAAATGAAGGCCATTTTTAATCTTAAATTTTCAGTTATATTAAACGAGGATCACGTACAGATCTGAAATTGCAACTACAGCAACGCGAGCAATGGAAAACAATAAAATTTATGATACTTTAATACGATCTGTATCTTTTAAATAAATGATTTGCAAGCATTCGTAGTAAACCAGCTGCCGTGGCTTGTTTTTTACGCGCGAATCGTTATGTGCATTTAAATTTCCGCAATGGATGGAAATTCATCGTGCGTGGAAAATGGTCATAGTTGTAGCGATGTTTTATCCCATTTGAATTTCATTGTTTGCTCGCGCGTTAAACGCACAGGAAGAAGCGTCGGAAAATCGTAAATAGTATTTGACCGGACGCGATTAATCGATCTTCGAACGATCTTCTTCAAAAAGTAACAACTGCTAGGAAAAGGGACAAATTTTCCTTCTAAACTCCCTGATAATTTTCATTTCTTTTATCATTTTTCTCACTTCGTATAAAATAATCGTAATTAAAGGGTTAATTCTTAACTGGTTAAAGAAGATTAGAACTTCAATTTATAATAAAATAGAAATTAATGAAGTCATCGAAAATTGGTCGAACAGGAAGCGGGTTAATTTAACAGGAGGCAAGTATATCCCCGATCAAGTGCAATTGAAAAGCGCTGACTAAACGCGTACGATTAAGCATTGCTTCCAATAACACCTGTGCACCTCTCGAGCGCAATTTGTTGCGAATTCAAGCTATAGCCAATTTAATTAGTTTCCACTCCATCGGACGCATCGTGTCCAATCACGATGACTTATTATGAGATTAAAACTAACCCAAAAGCGAAAAAGTTGTCCAATTCAAACTCGTCGCTAGCACGAATCGCCTCTCTAATTCGTCGTTCCCCGTGCACGTTCGTGTCACCTGTTTTTCTGCTTTTCCACCGGACGACATTTATTTCCAAACCACATCTACCCTTTAAATTAGACGTTTCATTGAAGCTTTTCTACGAAAAACGTTGCTAGAATCCAGATAAAGCTGGATTTTCGGAATTTCTCGATATTCAATTATAAATTCGATTTTCTTGAAATACAAAAAATTCTTTTTCTGAATAAATTGGATCAACAACGTTAAAAATGTCGACAGACCGTGTTAATTTCATCGATAATGTTAACTGGCATAGGTTGCGGAGATAAAAGTGGAACGAAGAAAGGGGTGGTTTTTAAGGAACCAGTCGTAATAAAAGTTTCTGGTTCGATAGGAGTTCGGGGGAGTTTAAGCTTTCGCGAAAAAGAAACACTTGAGAAATTCACTCGACTTCGCCGGTGGTGGTGTCTCTTTATGAAAAAGCGGCCAACTTTCATCTCGAGAGACAAACGGCCGCGAAGAACCACGAACGCCTTTTTGCTCTCTCTGACGTTCGAAAGAATCCCCCTTTTTTTCTTTTCTCCTCTCTACGATGCCGAGTATAAAAATTTAAGTACCTTATTTTACTTAATTCATCCGACACGAGCTTAACTTCGAAGGTGAATTTAAGAATACATTCCTTTTTCTTTCATTTCGTCGTACGATATTTGCAACGAGGAATTGACCACCGACAGCAATATATTTGAGAAGTTTAAACTGGCCGGGATTAAAAGTTTCTCGTATTAATCTCGAACCTTTGCCAAAGATTACACGCTACACGGAACTTTCTCCATCTTCGTTCTAGCCGATTACCAACTCTATCCTCTATGTCGGGTTCAATGATTGTGTTAGTTTAAGAATCTCTTTGCAAAGTTTGGGCGAACGAATCGAACAGTGGAAAAACACACGAGTCATTTTTATGCGTTAAATCATTCTCCAAGCTCGTCTGTTTTAAAAACACCGCGGTTGCGGCAAAAATTGCTTCCCTTAACTGCAGGCAAAAATGTAACTATCACAATAAATTGCAACTGGGCGTGCCAGCAAAGAATTGTGTAAACATTTAGCAAAGCCGCTGGGCAATTTTCCAGTTTCACAAAACACCGTGCTTTCCTTCCCAGAATGGAAACACGTTGCATGGTCGCGATTTAAAACTCGTTACCTTTCGTCTATCCCGGTGGGCGGAATACAGAATCCAGACGATGTAGAACACCATTATTATGGCAGGTATGCAGACACCGGTTACGGTGGACGCGTCCCGCAGAAGTGCATGGTGTACGGAAAGCAACATGATTGCTAACACAGCCCCACCGGCGACGTATCTTCCGGTTCGACGTCGTTCGTCCTGCCAACAAATGATAAATGTCCTGTTACTCTTTCACCTGTGTATTTTGGCTCATCGTTTCGCATATTTTTTCAAATTCTTCTCTCGATTCATTGCCTTTTTTTATGGCCTTATTAGTCACGGTTATTTTCATCACCGCAGACAACGCGTTAATATCCCATACAGTAATAAAAATAGCAAGATCTAGACCGCTAAAACGGCGGTATTCGAATTCGAAGAAAATGCAATAAAAACACCACAAAGATTTTACATGTGGAAGATTAACAAAGAACGCGAGGAATACGAGAACAGCAGCAGGGAAGAAGGAATTTATTTATTCGGATGACGAATGGTTTCTTTCTGATCGAATCAATCGTGGCCTGGACTTGATTGCTCGAACGAAACAAAAGATACGGAGAAAAAAGGGAAATGCAGTGACGGGATCGGAGCGGTATTAAATTTTGGATAGCGATCTCGGCTGAAGTGACAGCCCTATTTCCATTCGATGCAATTTAATATACTGTCAGTGAAAACGGATGCGTTCGGTTCGAAATTGAAATTTTCAATTTGCTATTACACAGCCGTGTAACGTCACAGATAATAATGCTATTTCGCTTAATTATTCAATTTCTATTTAATTTATGGAGCAAATCACCGGTGTCCCCCACGGCATTCAGCATGTTACCCTGTCGCGAGACTGTTTTGCATTCTGTGCAGTTGTCGCGACCTGTATGCGTATCATTTGACTGCGTTAGGAATCACCACGTGATACCGCGACCAGCAACGTTTCTCTGCTATTATCATATTCAAATTGACCCACCACCGGATGTAGATAGTCCCGGGCATAGAAATGGCCTACTCGTGATGTATTTCGCGTTTAAGCAGAAACCAAACCCGACGTGTACGTTGGAAATACTCTAATAACCGTGAATATACCTTCTTTCACATTTCCAAATTTTATAAATTTTAAAACTGTGATTAGAAGTCGACGTTCGAAGAATATCTAATAAAACAGAGGTCGTGAAAAGTAACTGGTCCCTCGGAAAATCGAATCAAAAATAGCGGAGAAACATGATTTTCCATTAAATTGCAACGAGACTGGTGTCGTACAAAAACAAAGGGATTAACATTAAATGACACGGATTTCCTTCTGTTTCTATTTTTACAAACGGTGTTCTATATCGCGCGACATACGGGTCCCCGTGTAACTTTTCCACAGCAAAAAATCACGTTCCATCGACCTCATCTTCGTGAATGTGTTCGTACGATGCCGTTTCCTCGATTTAACGACCGTTGTGCGGTTAATGCGTCGTATAAGGACTTTGAACATTTTTTTTCTCTTCTATTCATGGATGGTTCTCTTTGTGCTACGGGTCAAACGAGGGTAATTTTGAAAAAAAAAAAAAAAAAAAGAATGAGATCGTGATCGGTGCAAGGACTCGTTGCACATCCGTCTTGGAGGTTGCAACAGAGTTTCGAACTTTAGATCCTTGGGGGGAGGTTCGAGGAATCGTGATGGGACTCGTGCGAGCAGAACGAAAGTCGTATCGAACCGGCACTAAATTTCGAGTCACGGAAAAATGCTGGGGTTCGTTGGAGTCGACTAAAGTTTCTTTACTCTTTTACAATCATCCCTTCCTAGCGAGTTGAAAATATCCGAGCTCTAAATCTTGGAAAAATATAAATCTCAAATATGTAGGACACGAGTGAGTAAATGGAGAGCAAAAATAACACGCGAGTGATGAAAATCGGAATCGATATCGTGCATTGAATATCGTACTAACCGAAGTGGTGACGGTGTTAAGGGTGTCCCTCGAAGAGGAAGCTTCCGATCTGAGAGGCATGGCCCTGGCAATGACATAAATCACCCTTTCCCGACAGATTTAAATAATCCTCAGAAACGTCCCTCTACGATTCACCGTGGATGTCCTTTCTTCTCTGACGGACATAGATCATCGATACTCGCGTCGATGACGTGATTGAAACTCCGGAACGTTGTTCGAATTCAGACGACGACTCGGCTCGTTGGGAAACGAGTAAAATCTCGAGTATCTACGCAGATTCTCCTGAAACGCATTTTACCGCGTAAGCAGCATCGCTTGCAGCCCTGATTCCCGGACGTGTCCCCCTTGGAAAACTTTTACAGCTTCGCCGGTGAACCTCGAGGGATACGCGATACCGAGAATTCCAGGCCGGAATTTACGGTCATGCTTGGCGTTAAATTAAATGTCGCGTATTTACGGTAGGGTTGTCGGGTTTAATTAGAAAGACGAAGGATAAGGAACACCTAACACCAACGGCGGGAAAAACTGTAATCGTTGTTGATCTTCACGACTGTAAAAACACCGATTCTCTTATTCTGTATCGTCACGTTCATCCACTTGAATATATAATTAACGCGATGAAAATTTATCAATACGTTTGTTGAAAATTTGTTCGATACGATCGTTCACCTATTGCACATTTTTAACTCGAGAATCAATAGTCGTTTGCAAATATATAAAAATATGGAAAAGAAAGTTGAAACTTTCAACACGAATTTTCATTTTTCACCAAATTTACACTTGGAAATCGAGAGGATCTCGCGATCTGTCAGCTCGAACTCGCGGCGGAGAGGTTTGAAAATGAAAGTGTCGAACGATCGAAGGAGAGGATGTATCGGGCGTAGCTTGGAGAACAGTGGCAGCCACGCATTTACAACGCCACCCGGCACAATATACGCCTGGCAGGCAAAGCAGCTAGCATAATAAACGAATAACACGACGGAGCAACACGCCCACGTAGATAGACGTTCACCACAGCCTCTCAAACATGGTGATCGAGGATCGAAGGTAACTGGATTTGCCAAAATTAGACGATCCTTTCCGCATGGTGATTCGCGGAATCTATCTAATACCCTCTCCGGTAAAATTCCTCGATTGATGCGATCGATCTCCCTAGGAGCAATATAAAATCGGTTTATTATTCTATCCACGATCTGCGAATTAGCGAATTTTTTTAACGGAATGTAAAATGGTCCGGTGTAATGGCTTTTAAAATCCAGAAACCTGTGCTTTAGGACGCGGTCGAAGAAAAAACGAGCAGACAAATTGAACATCCCTCGTGAAACGATCATAACCCGATCGTTTCACGAAATTCCCGGCTGCTAGAATACCTGTCGTTACGACTAGTCGTTGTTTCAAGCCCGTTGGAACATTCTAACGAAGAAATAAAAGAAAGGTTTTCTATATCTACTGGGTGTCTTGGAAATAACGAAATCACTTTTGTTTTCAAATAAAATCGTATATTCTTTCGACAAATTTTATACAAAATAGTGTAAAGATACAAATGCCTTTAATAAGTATATTCCGATTAAATTTATTTTTGAAAAATGAAGAGTTCGAGACATAGATTAAATTGGAACACCATGTGTGCATCTGAGTACCACAAAATCTTTCACGATCAAATAAAGAACTGGAGTCGAGTGGTTTCCTTGGATCCTGGCAGTAAGGCCGAGGATATTCGATCAACTTCCATCATCCAACGCAGAATTACGACGTCGTCTGGAGCCTGACGATTACGCGATTATATTTCCGCGTGTCCCTTGCGAGCCAGCCAACCCTTGAACGACACGTAAAAGCGTGAATTCTGTGCCAGGAATATAGACGGTATCTTAATGGGAACAATCTTGTCGGGAATTCGGTTCACGTACTCGCCTCTTTTCAATCGTGCGAGCAACCGAGTCGTTTACCGGGCAAATCGCCACGTTTTCGTTTATGCACAATTCGAAAGACGATTGAAGATCATCGCTTCGGTTACGTAGCAAGGGTATAATTTTTTTCGTGACCCTAATAGAAAATCGGGTTGACCGGTGAAGATTGTACCCGGTGCAACGAGTCGGAAACTTTTGACCATGTCTTCTGTTTGCTCGGTTTTTTATTGAATCTTCTTTGGCTTCTGGTTTCCTCGCAAACGCGTGCTTTGACCCAGTTGCTATTCCCGTGGAAATTCAAGATTCCGGACAGATAAGAAGAATCGTCGATTTTTTGGTTCCTCTTCCCTCTCGGCACAATGCGTTCCGCGAGAACGTGTAAACAGATTGTTTTGTACGCTTTTGCTGTTAATTTTCACCTTATTCTTCTTGAGAACCGTTGATCGAAGATGGTGTTAATCTGTAGCACTTTCCGACTAACCATTTTAAAACCAGCCTGCTCCTTTATCCGCGTTTTCGAAGCGAGAAAGAGGGTGTGTCTGTCGACGAACTAGGTGATTCTGTTGTGTGATCAAAAATTAGCGAACCTCGAGTTCGATCAGAAACAAAGCAGGGAAACGTAAGCTTCGGAAATATCTTTCTTCGCGGCGTTCCACAAATACTTCATCAAAATTTCTCTGCACACGGAACACGCCGTTTAATTCTTTTCCTCTTCGTCTACGTGATTCACTCATACTCGATAGCTGATTCATCGATAAACCAATGATCATGTAGGTGTACCTATAATAAGATCTAGTGCACCTAGTCTAATTCATGGAAATGCAATTGCCTTTCAAATGAAATAAGAAACTTTCTGTCGGTGAGTCCCTCGACGAGTAAAAGAAAAGCATGGTTAGAACTGTGGAAAATACAGGAAAGTTTGAAGAACTTTTAATTACATGCTTCCAATGAACAATCATAAATTACTTGGGGGTATAAAAATACACGTCCCTCTGTGAGAGACCGCTATTTTTGACTAGATGTTATTAAGCTTGTTAAAATTGATTTAATGGAACCGGTGTTTTTTTCTTGCTACAATTCGTAGGCGTCCTATTTCCGTTTCTTAACACTAGAACAACTATACTTGTCAAAATGATGGATCATGGACAAATTCCTTCTGTTCATGTTGACTTTTCCAGGTAAAGTAGTGTTAGCCTTTTTCAATCTCAGGAAGCAAACCCACTATCTCACTAATAATAAACAAGAAATGTTGACACGATATTTCTTCATTGACATAACCTTTATCCAGTTTATCGGATTTTGAATTAACAAGCTTTTTATTTACTTTGTTACAGTGGGTGTTCAAAGGTACCACCAGGGCGATGGAACAGCGAAACCGTTCGGTATGTTACAATACGTTTGTTTATTGAATTTTTCAAATACCATTTAAAGGTTAAATAAGTGTCGATATTATCTATAACTTTGGTTAAGGAGAAAATTTCAAAATTGAGAACAACCTTCATAATCTTTAAAATTACAATAGGACGATATGAAAAATTTCATTGCTACACGGTTCTTCTCGACAATTTTTTTTTCAATTCATTTTTCAATTTTCGATCAAAACTGGTTTCGCCCTGTGCAAAGTGCCAGAAGCGAAATTGCAGTGCAGATTTATCTTGAGAGGGAAATTGAAAAAAATATCACATGGCAGAGCAACATCGTTTCCAGGAAACCGATAATAATTAGTTAACGATCCCCCCACGATCTTCGTTTCCGTTCTTTTTCCGTCGGTTTAAACGAGGACGTAAATACGCAATCGTGGCCCGATTCATTTCCATTTGCTGTATCTTGAACGTCGTTGGGAATACATGAATACCAAACGGGTGTTTTGAAGTCGCGATAATTGATTCCCAGTGGCAACCACATTCACGCAGGATATCGGTGAAAAGGGCAAAGGGAGAAGAAAAGTTCCTTCATCCTTGATTTTTTTATAAGAGAAAAAAACGTAGGTGGTGTATAGGAAAATTCTTGCCGCGTTAACGCCATCAAATAAATTTTAATGCGCCTAGCTAATCGAGATTTAACATTGCAACTAAGCGGAAAGAGTTTCAAGGGATGATGAAAAATATCGCTGAAATTAATTTACCCTATATGGCGCGACATGGTTTTTTCCTCGTAACCTTCGTTCAAATCGTTCTCGTTGCATCAACGTTCCAGAATAATGACTGCCAAATCCTGTTTATCTTGGAACGATGATTCGCGAAGAATGTGCGAGCAGGAAGCGGATGGGCGTGTGTTTTTCGTCAGTTGTCACCTCGTAAAACTACAGACGAGTTATGCTATAGATACGGCAGAAAATAACATCCGTGCGATGCATTTTTGCATCGCGATTGATTTTCAGAGCCGCGATGGATGCACCTGCATTTTTTTAAATACTTTACACTTGGTACAATTTAAGATTCTCGTAACTTTATGATTATTAATTACTTCATTTGCATAGTATCACCGTTAGATTATGTGAATCTAAAGTAATTGATTTAATAAGTTAAAAATATCGAGCTAGTTTTCTTTTTATGTTTTTTAATTTCATATACGTGCGCGTTTTGAAAACAACACCGTCAATACCATCTAGTGTGAATCAGTTCAGTTAATGCAGGAAAAAATTGTCTCATTATTAAAATTTCCGCTTAATTAATTCGTGCAAAATACTCCATGGTTATTATTCAGTTTATATAAAGTATCATAGTCCGGTGGATTCATTAAATTTGATAATTAAAAAATTGAACTGCGTGGCTAGTAAGCTACTACTATAACCACCTAGCGGTAGCCGTTTCGAATTAAAGTTTGCGCACTTTCTGTAATGCTTGACTTTTACTACTTGTTCGAAAGTTGATAATATGGATATCTTCTACTATTTCATTCATTAAATATTTTTTTCATTTATAAAATGCATTTAACACCATTATATTTGGAGAATAGTTTCTATATTTTCTATATTTTCTCGATTTTATTTTACGAAAATTAGCAATTTTCGGCTTTGTTAGTTTCGTCGTTCGCCTTTAGATGGTGCGAACAGTAGTTTTCCGTTTGCGCAACCCGGGAAACTCGGAAATTCAAGAAAACCTGAGAGGGGGGGCATCATTATTTTTCCTAGGGAATATTGTAGAATATTTTTATTTTCGTAAATTAATTACTATACAATAATATGATGTTCTGCCATAGAAACTAAATAAGCTTCTTCAGAATAGCAGTGAATCTCGTTCCCATTCAAAGACTTATCCTTCGGTCAATTTCTATCCATCATCTGTTTCAATAAAACGATCAAGACCATCGTCTAATTAACCTTTTCTTATTCCGCAGTTAAAAGAAAACCAAGGTTATTTTGCTTATACCATAGCTTCTAAAATTCCTTTCCTCTTTTATTCGCGCCTCTCAACAGATTCGAAGCGTAGTTATTATCGCAACATTCTCTCAAAGATAATTGTATCCTGACGGAAAAAAGGGTCTAGCCTTCAATCAGTTCATACTTAGACGAAGCTTCAATTAATGCGGCTGGTCGAATGGTCGAAAATCTGTGTATCACGACGGAAACTCAATATCCTTGAATCCCCAGTCTGCGCGTCATTATCCTTGCCGTTATAACGACGATAATTATTTTCTTACCCCGATTTCTGACTCTCATTCAACGACGACGACAAAGTAGACACGGACAAGAAACTGATCCGCGGAATTGCTGGGATCAAAGACTATCATGATCAAAGCTGAAACAGCGTCATCGTTCGTTGATCACGTTTCCTCTCGCTTTCCCTTTTCCTCCTTCGTTGTTCCCTTCATCCTGAGTGGAAAACTTAGAAACTAAATTTTCTCGATAAACAAGCAGAAGCTTCCTTATTAGTAAACCGATACAAATCAGTTGGTAACATTATTAACGATCCTGGAGATCCATTTGAAGTGATTTATTACAAATAATATGACAATACGGATCCTTTGTTCAAGAATTTTTATTCTTATTGTTAGTAGATATCTGTCAGGCGTAATTCGATTCCTTGTTAATAATTCGGTCCAATCTGTGGAGGAT